CCAAGTAGCACTAAGAAATAACGCTTTCTGAATGTATTATTGGTCAGCAAGAAAGCACCTAAATTAGACTGCAGGTAGGATTTAGGCTTCTGAAATCTAGGAGTGTCTTGCCTAAACCAAACCCTTGCCTAACCCTTACATGTATGAATATCCTGACGCATCTGTATCTTCAACCCAATCTAGCTGAAGATGTCCCTGCTCATTGCAGGGGGTTGGACTAGATGACATTTAAAGGGCCCTTCCTACCCAAAGCATCCTATGATTCTGTGTATTTCATTACTGAGATTTTCCAGTTTTCTAGAGTTGGTACAGTTGGAGGTGTATCTTCACAATACCCAGAATTGAAACAAACTTGCCCATAATAAGCAGTGTAATGCATATATACCATGCCTCAGTCTGATTGGACTTTATGGACCAGAAAGTTTCTGAAGCCTGATAATTTGGCTTTTCCTAAATTCCATAGTTAGGGGAAGCCCAGGATTTTGTTCCCTGTTTCACAGATGGTTGCTGTGTTTGGTCAGTGGTAGCTGACCGTAAAACCAAGCTGAATGTAAAACCACAAAGCCGGCCCTGGAGGCAGGAATAAGAAGGTAAGTTTTCCAGTGTGGTAGGGAACCAGATTCAGCACTTTGACCCTGGCAGTCTCTAGCTGTACATTGGCACAGCTTCAACAGGAAGAGGACAGAGAGCATCACTACCAGAAAGCAAGCTACCATTTGTGGCCCTGGTTGCCTTTATTAAGAAGTAGATGGAGTATGGTTTATTCTCTTTAGTTTGAGGGAGGCGTGCGATGCATGGTATGTTAAAGGTCCTCCACTTCTTTAAAAGATAGTTTGCAAGAGATGGCTTAGCTCCCAGCTTCACAGGACGATTACTGTCTGAAATGGGTACCTAAGTCACTCCTCACCTGTACACACTCTACTCTGAAGCATCCAACTCTCAGAGGCACAGGGATTGCATTGACTTTTGCTACCATACATCTAAACCTTTTCTAGATCCAGCTTACGTACTTGAAAGCTTTTATCTAGGAGTTTAGTCTAGGAGTTTACTTAAAGCCAATAGTCACTGGGCTGTACTGGACACCTTGGGAAGTATCCTTACCAAGAATGTTCTCCTGGAGTGTCATATCCCTTACTTATTACAATTGATATTAACCATAAGATCAATTTACTTTCAAAGCATAGATTGTACTCTGTGGGCCTCTATTTAAATTTCTCCTTGTCCAAAGCATTAAGAGTAGGACTCAAAATCTATAAGGTATTATTTCATACCTGATTATCATCAGGAAAAAAAAAGACTCTGCAGTGTAGTGGAATGAGTTATTGTTTTCTAAATCCTCTTTTTTTTTGAACGAGGCATGTAATAAACCTGCCAATAACTTAAATCCTTCTACTGAGCATAGCAGCATGTTCCTTAACTACAGCAAAACCTCAGGAAGAAAAAATGCAACGAAAAATCCATTAGACATAAGTGTAAAATATGAGTTAAATTCACCTTGCTGATTTAAAAAGACAGTAGGATTTTTCTCCATGGTGAGCACAAGCATGTATCTGAAAAGTTGTAGGAGACAATGTATTCCTGCTTGTTTAGGCAGTAGCTCAGATTAATTTCTGGATGACTGTAATCAGTCATCATGAATTCATTTGGCTTACTGAATTAAGCTGACAACACAAAATCCTACATATCATTTTCACATTATACTTTGTATAACACTGTTGCCAAATAAATCACTTCCAAAGCAAAAATATATACAGTACGTCTTTTTCATTACTGATATTTGCTTGAATTTACTGTTCTGATGCCTGCAAAATTAACAAAATTGCAGAAGTATATTACTAAGGTTACAGGACTGGAATGGTGTGTATTTACTGTATATACAGTTTAATTATTAAACAATCATATTTTTAATGAAATGCTGCTCTATGATTACCTTCAGTGAATTTTGCTTGTACTAATGGCTGCACTATTCTACCATTAGCAAGATCATGTTTGAAATAAAATGGTATAAATGTATTCTAATCCACTCTTGGGAAACACAGCTGTAAGAAAGGTTCCTTTTTGACTGCTTATGTGAATTAGTTCCTTATGTCAAATCATTCTGCAGAAATAAAAGCTGTGGTCAGCCCACTTAAAATTCCATTTGATTCCTCCTGGGAATGGAAAACCTTTGTATTCTTTTTCATGCTCTGAACATTCTTCTGAACATTTACTAGAAGACTCAAAACTAGCAGTAATTTTAAGAGAAGGGGGCAGTATTAGCAGATTCAAGAAAATAAGTAAAGCTATGATTGTTTGAGGATCATGACTTCTATTGTTTCACAGCATTACTCTGGCTGCAGTTTAGGAGATTTTAAGAAAAAATAGGTGATAGATTTACTAATGCTTACCAATGTTTCAGTGATACCTCTATTTCCAGGTAATGATTCTTGTAGAAAATAGTATTTATTTTATTTATAAGATATCTAGAGTGTTATTTATTGAGTTTAATTTCCAATGAAGACGACTAAGGGCAACAGAAAAGTCAAGGCCAGGCAGGGAATTCAAAGGGACCTCACCATGGGAAGGTTAACAATCTCACCAACTGGGGCTGCTTCTAATGGAAGCACCAGGAAAAGAGTTTAGAAATATAGACTTAATGACTTAATCCCAAATCACATAATTAAAACATCTGCAGGCACTAATGGCTGGCTTGAGTATAGCTTTCCTGCTATAGCAAAAATGACCCTATTTCTTTTGGTCACAGTTAATGATGACATAACAATAAAAATGTACCTTAATGCACTCTTATTGAATGTATGCAATACCTATGGCTGCAGCAGAATGTGGGCTGAAGAAATTTTTTTTGTTCCATTTTTTTAGAGTTGCCTGCTAATTAATAGGACCAAAACTCTACACCACAAGCACTTAAACCCACCCAATTAGTCTTAGGACTATTTAGTCTTACGATCTTAAGACTACTTAGCTAAGGTTGTGTAACTTAAGCAACTTACTGTAAACGATTCTGGATTTACAGGCTCCAGCACCAAAACAACAAACACAGCATTTGTAGAGAGAACTCTGGCGTTGTACATACCAGTGAAACTCTCTGAAGGAATCAGCAAGCACAGAGGTACAAACGATGCCAGTGATAAGTGGATTTGGGAAAGTTCTTCAGTAAGGTTCCTCTCATAGTGTCTTAACGAAACTAAACTGTCATAGGACAGGCAGGAAGGATTTGCTGAATCTGGTTAAGGGTTAAGAAATATGGACGAGGAATATATCTTTGCAAAGCGGGGAGGTTCCTTGGGACCCCTTAAAGTCAGTGTTGGGATCAATGGTGCAAAGATATTTTGGTGATCTGGAAGGTGCTACTGATTTTTTCAGAAAAAATGCAGATGATTGTGGGACATCCCACAAGATTTGGTGATACAATAATGAAATGTCAGATAAAATTCAATGTTGATAAATGCTAGGTGGGTACACAGAGGAAACATAACCCGAAGTACCCTCATATGAGCGAGTACAGCACATGAGCACTATTTATGTATACTATCACCACTCAGAAAAGGGACTGCGGTGGAGCAGCAAAAATTCTCAGGAAACTTAGCTCAGTGGCATTCAAAAAAAAAAAAATAACTGTGAGCATTTAGGAGAGGAATGAAGAAAAAATTGAACAAACAATTAGTACTATTTCTCAAATATACCTTGACTTCAGCATGTAGGTCTTGACATCCCATTTCAGAAGGAAGATGGAAAAGATGCAGATTAGCAGGATGAGGATGTTCAAAGATACAAAATGGCATCCCTAAGAAGGAAAACCGTATGAACCAAGCCCCATCAGTGAGCAAAGAACTGGAAGAATTTTGTGAAATTATGAGGACTAATGGGGGTAAAAAAAATGGGGAACAACTCTCCATTTCTCAAAATAAAGACACTAGGGAGCATTAAATGAAGCTAGTGGTAAAAGAAAACATTTTTGACAAATACATAATGAAATTATGGCACTTAGTGCCACAGGACATTGTGGCACAGACAGTATAAAAAGGGTTCAGAAAGGGCATGAGCAAAGTAATGGAGAATTGCCAGTTGACGGCTATTAAACAGGCTGGACTGGATGCGACACCTGGTTCTGGCAGTCCTTAAGCTGCCGATTGCCATAAACCATGAACATACAGGGAAGAAGTCATCCCGTATGCTTCCTATTGCTCATCCTAGGTGTCCGCCCCAGCTGCCACCTGACCTTTGGTAGGACTGTTCTTATCACATTAAGTAAACTGTTAGTTCTCCGAGGGGCAAATGTTTCCGTTAAAGACACAGCAGGAACTACTCAGTTAAAGCCGCTTTACTAATTAACCCTTTGAAACACTTTGTGCGACTTCTTTGTATGCTCTTCCTATAGCTTTCCTACGCTGCTCCGAATTTGCTGGTAAAACGAATTCTACAAGAAAATGATATGACTCCAAAGTGAATGCTGAGGAGTTCGTCGGAGAAAATTCAACTATTTTAGAGTCGCGAGGCCGGTGTCGACCAGCCCCCTCGCCACCACAGCGGCACTGCCCGCCCGCCCGACGGCACCGAGCCCGGGCGGGACAGCTTTTCCCCTCACAGGCTGCACCACAGGGAGCCGCTCTTTTGCATTGCATTTATTTATTTTAATTTTCGCACATCGCGCTCTCCGCGCTGCAGTTCTTTCATGTACAGATGCGCGCCTCTCCAAGGACCTCTGTCAGCCAGGGAATGAAAAAAAAAACAACCACCCAAAACCCAACAGGGGTCGCTTAGCCCTCTGCCGCAATTAACGCGGTCAGCGGCGCTTCTGGCGGGGGCAGCCGCCGACCCGCCC